CTGGTGTCGCGGCGGTATGGTTGTTTTTTTCTTAGCGCTTCGGACGCCGCGGATTTGCCTCCGCACTTATGTCGGTGCGGATAAGGGCATCACGGTTTTGTGGTGGAACCATGTAAATAAAGAAAGAGGCAGAGACTTTATGTGTATTCATTTTATGCAAAATACAAAATGATTGAAAATAAATACCTCTTTTCTTATAGGGTATGATCAATTTAGTGCTTGAATGTATTGATCGCTTACATGTGTACAGCAGTGCAGCTCATTTTGCTGATGTAGCTGGAAAGGAAGCAGGAGAAACTTGGAAATCTATTCTAAATTCGCTGTATGAATTATTAGGTAAGACATACCTTCGAGTAACTGAGATTAGTAATATATAAACACACATAAATATATGGGGCAAAAACCCTGGGATGTTGAAATATATTTTCTAGTGTATGATAAAGATCTTCAGATATCCAAGTGCACCCTTGGATGAGAATCAGAGTATTTATTTAGATTTACTTTATACCAAAACTGCAGTGCACTTACTGTATATATTGATGTATGATTGTATTTGTGTTAAGTGGTAGATTCAAAATATAAAATTGTTTTTTCTTTAAATGTGGATACTGCCTGCTGATTAAAAAAAACATGTGCAGTAAATTCTTTGATCCTATTACACTCAGATCTTAATTTGATTCCATTACATAATACCATAGTGTAGCATAGCATAGGGTAGTGTAGCATAATGTAGCATAACCTTGAGTTTTAATTTTTTTATGACAAATCTCTGGCCAGTTTAGCTGAAGAATATTATAATGAGTAAAGTTTTCAAATATCTCTGTATTCTAACAAAATGCTGTAATTTGATATTTAGCTTAGGTACAGTTAGTCCTCAAATTATGATTATAATTGAGCCCAAAGTTTATGTTGCTAAGCAAGACAGTTGTTGAATGAGTTTTGCCCCATTTTACAATATTTCTTGCCACAATTATTAAGTGACTCACTGCAGATATTAAGTTAGTAATACAGTTGTTAAGGGAATGTGGCTTCCCCATTGACTTTGCTTGCCAGAAGGTCGCAGAAGGTGAGCACATGACTCCGGGACACTGTAACCGTCAGTTGCCAAGCGTCTGAATTTTGATCACATGACCATGGGGATGCTGCAACAGTTGTAAGTGTGAAAAACGGTCATAAGTCACTTTTTTTCAGTACCGTTGTAACTTCAAATGTTCACTAAATGAACTATTGTAAGTTGAGGAATACCCTATTCCAGATATTAGCAATTTTATTCTGATCTCTGGATTTCATAGCAAACTATTAAGCACGCATCAATATTGCTATCATTTATAACAGTTCAAATATAATTAGTGCTTTTCATAGAATATTTTCTCATCTTAATTATGATTTACGCTAGTTTAGTAAACTCCAATTTGGGGTCAAAATACTATATGATGATTTCAGCCAGTGAATGTGAGGATTTCTAAATTAAGAGTTTATCTCTTTATTCATTCCTAGCGGCTTTGATTAGAGGGAATCGTAAAAATTGTGCTCAGTTCTCTGGATCTCTTGATTGGCTCATTAGTAGACTGGAGAGATTGGAGGCATCTTCTGGTAAGTTTCTTGACATTATAATATATATATTATAAATTCAATAAGAATATTTGGTATATAACTAATTTAATAATGATCCCTCAGGTACCTACAAACAGGAATTGATAGGTTGTTGTTTGTGAATCTAGTATAAATTTTGCCAAAAGCATTAAAAAGCAATATTGAATGGAATATTTGTTTTGTTTTGTTTGTTGCCTTTATAATCTGATCCAGGTTTGTTTGGGATATTGTGTTGTACACAGAAACTTCCATTTATGGTCTGATATTTTTCTCGGTATGTGTATCTCACAGGTTAAAAAGATAGAAATTCCCTTAAGTTAAGCTATACTCCTGGGGCGGTTCAAAATATGTTTTGTATAGTATTCTTGACAATAACTCTGAAATGGTTTGTTTTTGTGTTCTTCTGAGATAAAGTGTTTTGTAGTCCCAGTTTAATTTACTGTCCAGAAATACCCTGGTTACTTTCAAATACTACACGGAAAAGAGGACAGGCAATGAAAATCAAGGAGCAGGAAAAAAAAGGAGGGAAGGGAGATCCAAGTCCTAGTGAAGAAAAATCTTATTAATTTTGGTTCTTTTTTTCACTGCTTAGCATCTGCTTCTGCTTAGTGTTTTCAGTCACCCGTTTCAAAGATATTATTAACTGAATAATGGATATATTTTCTATCGCATACAGTAAATATCAATGGATGTTTTTATTCTTGTTTCTCTAAGTAACTACAATGTTTTAAGTAAGGAACTTACGCTAGAAGGGAATTAGTTCTTATTTCACAAGCAGTTTAATAATGTATCTTTAAAGGAGCTTAAATAGCAATAGTTTAGATCTATAAGGAACCCAAAAACACTTGGCATTTCAACCAAATTGATGATTACTGCCCTGCAATTCAGACTGGTCTGGTTGCAGCTTAGCCATTTTTCAATTAGTTATAGGTAAACTATAGACTGTATTTTGGATGTTAGGGGGAAAACTAAAATGGAGCTTTATTTTAAGCAGAAAAATGTTTAAGGAATATAAAATAAAATGGAAAGTTGCACGATTGTGGCATGAAGTAAATGTAATAAATAAATACATCTCATCAAAATTAGATGCATAATTTGTGTTATGGGTTATGGGGGAATTTAACATATAGTGTATGAGTTGTCCATGTACTATTTCATATGCTACTGAGATTTTCTGCATCTTTGATTATATTGATTTATTTAAATTTGTTGTAAAACAAAGAAACAATAGAGAAGCTGTAGCAGAAGTTGAGGGCTGCTTGAAATTGAGGAGATATGAATTTTCATTCCAAGTTTATCATTATACATGAAAGCAGCCTATGTTAATTGCCTAATCTTTTATGTTATTCTTAAATAACCATGCTTATAAAGATTAGTATAAGAAGCATTTTCTTAGAAATGCAAGTTAATTCAATATGAAAGCAACAGCAACTATGCTGTCATTGTTGTTTTATTTCAAGTATTATTTTCTTTTGAGTCTTAACAATAATTATAGAAGAAAAGGGATTATTACAATAATTCTTAGATTATTATGACTATTCTTTATTGCATGTTTTTAAAAGAATATAAAGAGATAACTAGTAAAATGGGGCTTCTATATTTTTAGGAATTCTTGAAGTATTACACTGTGTGTTGGTGGAAAGTCCAGAAGCATTGAATATTATTAAAGAAGGACATATTAAATCAATCATTTGTCTTTTGGACAAACATGGCAGAAACCATAAGGTATACAAGACAAACATGAATTTATTTGAATAGTCTATGTGATTAATATAAGTTTTATAAGTAGAACATAAAATGTAATTAAGATAATGAAACATATGTAATATTTTTATACAGAAGCTCTAGTAATTTAAAATGTCCATAACCACCTCTATCATCATTTTCCCCCAAGGTATTAGATGTTCTTTGTTCATTGTGTGTATGTCATGGAGTAGCTGTGCGATCCAATCAACATTTGATCTGTGATAATCTTCTGCCAGGGAGAGATCTTCTTCTTCAAACTCGTCTTGTCAATCATGTGAGCAGGTAAAAAAATGGAATAGAGTATTATTTTGAATGCTCATATATATGTATTTATAAATGAGAATGTATATGCAAGCCCTTCTATGATAACATTGTTTTTATTAGAACTTGCTTGGTGTAGGCGTTAAAAAATTTGTAATTTGCTTTTTTTTTTAAAAAAAAAATCCATTTTGTGGTTATTATCGTTTTTACTGATTTTTAAAATGCATTGTTCTGCTTGTATTTAGCATGCGACCAAATATTTTCCTTGGAATCAGCGAGGGCTCTGCTCAGTACAGGAAATGGTATTACGAATTAATGGTTGATTATGTGGAGCCATTTACAACAGCAGAAGCTACTCACCTTCGTGTAGGTTGGGCATCAACAGAAGGCTATTCACCATATCCAGTGGGTGGAGAAGAATGGGGTGGCAATGGTGTTGGTGATGACTTATATTCCTATGGTTTTGATGGACTTCATCTATGGTCAGGTAAGACTAATTAAAAAGTAAGTAATTAAAAGTAAGGTTTTATATTTAGGCAACAAAAACAAAATGCAAAGGTACAGTATATGTGGTACCTTGCTCAGTAGTGGTGACTGTGAGAGGGATCTTGGCAATGATGGGTTTCAAAATTCTTTAGAACCTCTTCTGTAGGTGTGGCCTGCTTTGTGGGAGTGGCTTGCTGGCCATGTGACCGGGTGGGAATGGCTTGCTGGCCATGTGACCGGGTAGGAGTGGCTTGCCAGCCATGTGACCGAGTGGGGGTGGCTTGGCAGTCATGTGACGGGGTGGGCATGGCCAACTTGTAAAATGTGGTGAAACTCACTTAACAACGCTCTTGCTTAGCAGCCAAAACTTTGGCTCAGAAACTCTGGCATTTGAACCATGTAAGTCTTAAAGCTGTCAAGTTACAAGACNAAGAATGTAAGGGAATTAGGTTTATTGGGAAAAAAATTAATCGTAATTGAATATACGTTGTACAATGAAAGTGAGGTATTTAGTTATATTAGATGGAAAATCTGCGATTGTAAATGTAATTGAGAATATGGATGCAAAAACACTTGTAACCAAACGACATGCTGTGTATGTAATGGATGATAATTTTTTTATGTTGTTTTTTATGTTTAAAAATTAAAAAAAAAATTGCAAAAAATAAAAAACAAGACCAGCACACCTACACCCGTGAAAATCTACGAACAGAAATATCACCGGCATAATGCTAAGTCAGGGAAGGAATCTTCACGATTGTTTAAACCAAGCAGGTTCACATCATCTCCTTCCTCCCACTTCCTTCTCACCTGGCATCACTTCAGCCACCAGTGGTCCTTCTGCTGTCAGCTCCCGCACAATCTCATTGTCATCCTCGTTGATATCTAACCAACGTCCACAGTTGAAGGTGTACTTCTCTTTTGTCAGAGTTTTCAAAAGTGTGACCTTGAAGAATTGAAGAAGAAAAAACCCTGTGAGAATACATAAACCAATGATCTATTGGGCATGTTTGGAATTTCATAGTTCTTGGAAAGGGATGGGAACAAGGAGTTTATGTGAATAAAAATGGAGGGTCAAGCCTGAATTTTAAGTGGGTGCAGGGCTGGGTGAATTGGGAAAACAGTAAAACATTCCTTCTAAAATGTGTTCACATTCTCTTCTGTTAAGGGAGAACCTGAAGTCTTTGGTATTTAAACTGTTTGCACTTCCGATGTATTTAAGAAGTTTATATCGTCTGCTTAATAAATCGGGACTTCTCTTCTGTTGGCCCAGGCTATAAGCTCACATCTGGATAAACATATAGGATTACACTTTAAGATGTTTAATCTCAAAACATTTAACCAGACAGCAGGTTACATGCACTTGGAGGGATTATTTCTGGGTAAACGTGCTTAAGACCAAGCTGAGAATGAATTTGCAAAACATTGGATCCTTATTAATAATATTCTGGATCAAGAAAACAGAAGAACCTTACAGTTAAACGCCCTCCTTTTTGTCATAGATGAAATCAACAGTAAATTAAGATTAATATGGTTAAGAATTATACAATGACTGAAGGGGTGGAACTACCGTGTTTCCCCAAAAATAAGACCTACCATATTTTTCGGACTATAAGACGCACCAGTGTATAAAACGCACCATGATTTCGAAGAGGTAAGAAAGAAAGAAATTTTTTTATCCTCCCCGGCCCCCAGGAGCACTCTGCAGGCTTCAGCAGGGCTGGGGGAAGGCAAAATGCCCCAGTTTTTGAGAAAAATGGGCAAAAAACAGGCTGTTTTTTGCAAAAACGGGCATATTTGCCTTACCCCAAGCCTGCAGAGTGCTCCTGGGGGCTGAAGGACAGCAAAAACACCCCCATTTTTGCGGAAAACAGCCTATTTTTCACCCATTTTTCACAAAAATGGGATGAGGGGGGGCAGAGCTTCAGGAGGCCAAAAGTGGCTGTATTCGGTGTATAAGACGCACCAAGATTTCCACGCTCTTTTAGGGGGGAAAGGTGCGTCTTATACTCCAAAAAATACACTAACCAGATAATAAACCCTAGTACAATATTTCAGGATCCTCGTAATATAGCCCAAAAATGTGTTGTACTGCTAACTAGGGCATACAAAACCAATTCTCGAATACAGCTCATCTGCCTAGAACCCACACTATACATCGGACATTAATACAATTGAGTGGGCCCAGAAGTATTTGGAATGAGCTGCCCCCGGAGCTTCGCATAATTCCCGACCTCCAGTCCTTGCGACGCGAGCTAAAAAGTTGGCTTTTCCAGCAAGTCAGCCTGGCTTTAGTAGAATAAAATATAGGATTAATTTGGTTGTAAAGCCAGTTGCGACCCTACCTGAACCGGGAGGCTCTCACAACAGTCACTCGTGCCCTTGTGACCTCTAGGCTGGAATACTGCAACGTGCTCTACATGGGGCTGCCCTTGAAGAGCATCCGGCGACTTCAGCTAGTACAGTGATTGTGGGTGCACCTCGGTTCGCCCACATAACACCTATCCTCTGCGAGCTGCGCTGGCTACCTGTTGATCTCCGGGTGCGCTTCAAGGTGCTACTTACCACCCATAAAGCCCTCCATGGTAGTGGATCTGGGTACTTGAGAGACCGCCTCCTGCCAATTACCTCCTTGCGACCTATTAGATCACACAGATTAGGCCTCCTCCGAGTTCCATCCGCCAGTCAGTGTCGACTGGCAACTACGCGGAGGAGAGCCTTTTCAGTAGTAGCTCCGACCCTTTGGAACGATCTCCCCATGGAGATTCGTACCCTCACCACCCTCCAGACCTTCCGCACAGCCCTCAAGATCTGGCTATCCCGTCAGGCCTGGGGTTAAAGATTATAATCCGTCCCCTCCCGAATGATGAATGAATGTTGCTTTTATTTTTAATTACGTATTGTTTTTATATGTCATTGTGTGTACTCCCTTCCCTATACGTTGTAAGCCGCCCTGAGTCCCCTCAGGGAAAAGGGCGGCCTATAAATAAATTTATCTACAATCTATCTACAATCTACAACTGAGGGCAGGACAAGAAGCAATGGGTGGAAACTAATCAAGGAGAGAAGCAACTTAGAACTGAGGAGAAATTTCCTGACAGTTAGAACAATTGATCAGTGGAACAGAATTTGCCTCCAGAAGTTGTGAATGCTCCAACACTGGAAGTCTTTAAGAAGATGTTGGATAGCCATTTGTTTGAAATGGTATAGGGTTTCCTGCCTAGGCAGGGGGTTGGACTAGAAGACCTCCAAGGTCCCTTCCAACTCTGCTATTGTATTGCATTGTATTAAAATAAAATAAATAAAAGGAAGTACAGTTAGTCTTCAACTCACAATTGAGCCCAACAGTTCTGTTGCTCAGCAAGACAATTATCAAGTGAGTTTGGCCCTATTTTACAACCATTCTTGCCACAGTTGTTAAGTGAACCCCTGCAGTGGCTCAGCTAGCAACACGGTTGTTCAGTGAATCTGGCTTCCCCCTTGACTTTGCTTGTCAGACGGTCACAAAAGGGGATCACGTGACCCCGGGACACTGCAACCGTCATAAATATGAGTCAGTTGCCAAGCGCCTGAATTCTGAGCATGTAACCACAGAGATTCTGCAATGGTCGTAAGTGTGGGAAAAACGATTCTAAGTCACTCTTTTCAGTGCCGTTGTAACTTTGAAAGGCCACTAAACGAGGGGTTGTAAGTTGTGGGACTTGTTTTTGCAATTCCCCTTGGTCATTTTTGCTGTTCTTGCTGACATTCTATTATAATTTGTGGAACTACCGTATTTTTGGGAGTATAAGATGCACCTTTTTCCCTCAAAAAAGAAGGTGAAAATCTGGGTGCGTCTTATACACTGAATGCAGCATTTTGGCCTCCTGACACTCCGCCCCCTTTGCAAAAATGGCCGTGCATAGCCTTTAGGAGGCTTCCAGGGTGCTCCTGGGGGCTGGGGAGGGCAAAAATGAGTGAAAACGGGCCACTTTCTGCTTGTTTTTCTCCCCAGCCCCCAGGAGTACTCTATAAGCCTCTTAAAGGCTATGGATTTTATTTTATTTTTGATAAAAACTGGGGGTATTTTCGCAAGAAATGGGCCATTTTTGGGGAGGTCTGCAAAGTGCAAAAACATTTTTTTTAAAAAATTTGCCTCTTCAAAATCTTGGTGCATCTTATACTCCAGTGTGTAAAATACAGTACTTCTTCAACTACAATGTGCAGAAATGGACAAGTATGTCCACTCCAATGCCTTGAAGTGGATAATCAAGATTAGAAATGATACACCGGAGCTTTCAAATGGCAAAAGGATCCTTAAGAGTAGAAAAACGGCTCAATCTTGCTGAATATCAACCTAGGTCAGTGTTAGAGTCACCTGTGAGCTCTCACAAAGCTATTAGTAATGCCATTTGTGCGGCTGTTAGTATCGCTTCCTCTCAAAACGGCCGGTTGTTTCACTTCTGAAATGGCCTTTTTTTCCTTCTTACCTTGTTGAGATGCCAGCCAGAAAAAGGACTCCGTTTCTCGTGCCATATCCGAATTTTGAATAACGTACCCAGATCTGGGAGCTCAATCTATACAAATAAGCACAAGAGAATAAAAAAAAGTTGGGAGGGACCTTGGAGGTCTTCTAGTCCAACCCCCTGCTCAAGCAGGAGAGCCTACACCACTTCAGACAAATAGTTGCCCAGTCTCTCCTTAAAAACCTCCAGTGATGGAGCANCTTCTTCTTCTTCTTCTTCTTCTTCTTCTTCTTCTTCTTCTTCTCCTTCTTCTCCTTCTTCTCCTCCTTCTCCTCCTTCTCCTTCTCCTCCTCTTCCTCCTCCCCCTCCTCCTTCATTGTCAACTTATTTACTGATATACTATTGCAACTGTTTAACCGTTTAGTGTTAACGTTGAAGGTGTACGTGTTTTGTCTGTTATCAATTCTAATTTAATCCAAAATTAAATGAATTATTTAAATCATTTAACTTGTTATTCTAAGGACTAAGAACCTATAGAATATAGTCATGTTCAATTACAAGCAAATATGCATACAATTTTATTAGCATTATTCCAAATTACATGGCATATGCCTTATGCCGCAGCTAAACCACAGCTAAAGGTAAATTCTATCAAGGTGAGCAAGAAAATAAGTTAATTGCAGACAATTTAGGAAACAAAAGAACCTAAGCTATTATAACAGCTGCTCAAACTCAGAATCTGCAAGTAGAATTTTGCAAGAAATATTTTATTTAATTAATATAGAGTCTATCACATTGTATTTATCTTACAGAGTACGATTTTTGCTCGGAGGCCGCCATGGGGAATTTAAATTCCTTCCCCCTCCAGGATATGCTCCATGTTTTGAGGCTATTCTGCCCAAAGAAAAGTTAAAAGTGGAACCCAGCAGGGAATATAAACAAGATTGCAATTGCTCAAGGGATCTCTTGGGACCAAATATTTCTTTGTCACAAGCAGCATTTACTCCAATACCTGTAGATACCAGTCAGGTATATAAAATGTACATTGACTTTAAACATGCATTAGATTTAATTTATATTATATTAAAACTAGGAACAGTTGGATGACAAGCACCATGTGACTGCTAGAAGTATTGTTATATCAACATCATCAATATCATAGTTTGTGATGGTAATCAGAATTCCACTTTCCAGACATTTATCAGATATTAATAGCAAGCATTGGAATTAAACTGAGTTTTGTATAATAAATGACAACAAATACAGCCAGGAATAAAATATGTTGAGAAAATAGCAGACAACCTGAAAAAAGTAGTTTAAGAAACTATATTGGTCTGTACGTGTAATAATCAATGCCATAGTCCTGTTCCCTTCAAATTTGCCTGTTGATAAAATCCCTTATATATTTTTGTCAATTCAGATTTAAAATGACAGAACACAAATCCACAGCCCCAGTCATTTTGATCTCTGTATAGGTGAATCCACAAGGTTAGAGTTATGTTTAAGGTCATATCAGACAAGCAAATTTATTTATAACATTTATATTTAATGTTTTAAATATGTCAAATGCAGTTCAGTAATTGTTCTGGAATTACCATAAATATGAATCCATTCTACATCATGGTTGTATTGGCCTCATATATTCATGGGGTGGGAGATGACAATGCAAGCATTAGGATGCAAATTGCACAACTTATGTGCTTGCATGCAGAATTGTGATGCAAGGCTATAATGGTGAAGCTTTCTGCATGACATCAAAATGCACATTTCTTATATGCACATTACAGCATTGTAGATCGGAGTGAATTCATTTGATAGCTATGTAAAATCTGACACAAAAAGTGTCCTCTGGATGTATATTGTGTAAATGCTTAAGATAAAGCATCTGAGTGACAATACTGTATGGCAATTTTAAATAACTTACTCTGCTGTTTTATTAATATAAGAACTGATGACAGTGTTGGGTTCATGAAGAGAGTTGAGCTCAGTGGAGAATGACAGTGCTTTATCTGCAATTTCTTGCAGTTACTGTATATTTTGAATCTCATTCTCTTAATTCTGAAGAAAACAGGTATGATAGATGATAAGATTTTTTTAAAAATGGAACAAATCATAAAGAGGCTGAAATAATTGGATTTTTATTTTTTTCACCGTCTAACTATAACTGAAAGGTAGAAAAATGAACAAGTTATATACAGTACTGTACATGTGGCATTAGGATATTTACAGTACAGCCCTTTACATTTCTACTCAAAGATAAATTTCAATTAGTTCATTGAGTGTTCTTTTTGGCAATGGGAATGGTAACCAATAAAAATAAGTCCACTAAATGACTGGGATAATTATTTCATTGGTTTTTTTTTTCCTTAATTGTACTGTTTGCCATTTTATTTTTTTAAAGATTAACTCTTCTATTTTTAGATTGTATTACCTCCACATCTGGAAAGAATTCGAGAAAAACTAGCTGAGAATATCCATGAACTTTGGGTGATGAATAAAATTGAACTTGGATGGCAGTATGGACCAGTATGTACTTTTCTAAATTTAGCATTTCATTAATTAATTCATATATGCTTATGTATATAATTTGGAAGACTTTTTACTGCCTAAATATTAAAAGACTGTTTTGGTTTTCTAATGAGTTTTGCATCATGTAATAAATATAATTTTAAAAAAATTACACAGAAATCCAATCAGGGGCATCCACAGAGTGTGGCCCAAAAAGTGAAGCTGAGACAGGGCAATTAAAGCTTAATCTGTATTTTAGGAACATCATGTGTGTAACACATAAAAAATCAGGTGGAACTTCTGTTGTACCTGTTGTGACCTCTATCTTGCATTTTTGTCATCATTCTTTGCAGACTCACTTGAAATAATTCCATTGGCTACAGTCAGAGAGGAACAATCAGGGAGAACTAAAATCCAGGAGCTAAAAATTGCACACTTAAATAAGAGTGGAAAAACCAATGTACAAATATGTTTTTGTGTGGAATATTACCAGAAGGATGGACTTGGGTTTTTTTGCAGAGAAATTCTGCAGTAGAATTGATCCTTTTAAAGTACAATTGTAAGATAAACTGAAATTCTATTTTTCAGATTAGAGATGACAACAAGCGACAGCATCCCTGTTTGGTAGAGTTTGCTAAATTGCCTGAACAGGAACGGAATTATAATCTTCAGATGTCACTAGAAACTTTAAAGTAAGTCAGACATATTTTCTATTTTTTCTATTTTTGCGATTAAATTTATATAAATGTATGAGTTCTTAATAGATTATGAAATTTGGTTTACACTATACAGGATTAGCAAGGTACTTGTTAATTTTCTGGATTGTGTCAATTAATATAAATATGCATATTTACAAGTAATTTCCTTTGATATATACTGATTACTCATATATTAGGTACTGAATCTTCATTTTTTAAATGAGAATTACAAAGCACTCACATTGTTACTTTTAAAATATTTCTCAGTAATCATATATTATATAAATGGAAGAGAGAAAAAAATTGTATTGTATAAATCTGGATAGCAAAACAATTTGTAAAATAATTTATGGTTTATGCATAGGAAAATCTACAATAACATATCATAGCTCTGAAATCATGGCTGATAATTATTTTCAAAAATATGAGCAAAATAAGAAAAGACAAAACTTTTCCCATCATGTAACTATAATAATTACAATTGTAACTATATTGGTACAATCATGTAACTATTATAATTATAGCCTTGCCATTCAGTTAGCACATTTTGCTTGATTTTAATTACGTTAAATATGATTCTCTCTTTTAGAACATTGCTGGCATTAGGTTGTCATGTTGGAATTGCTGATGAGCATGCTGAAGAAAAGGTGAAGAAACTAAAACTTCCCAAAAAGTAAGTTTATACTCAGACTATTAAGGGATGAGAATGCAAATATGTCTATGCTATTTCCTGTACACAGCCTACTAATTGACAAATTGAAGATACCTGAACCTCCATATGATTCTTTGTATAAGACAGAATATGTAATATTCTGTCAAGGTAGTCAAAAAGGTCAAGTATCTTGGAGTTAATATTTCAATCTCAAATGGGAAATTATTTAAGTATAATTATGAACCACTCTGGCATAGTATACAGATAGAGATGAAAAAATGGGAGAAGTTGCACTTATCTTTGCTGGGAAGAATAGCGGCAGTGAAAATGAATATCTTACCAAAATTTTTATTTCTTTTCCAAATGTTACCTATACTCAAAAAAGATGTGAATCTTTTAGAATGGCAGAAGGGTATCAATAAATTTGTATGGGCAGGAAAGAAGCCGAGAGTAAAGCTGAAAATAATGCAAGATGCACGCGAGAGAGGAGGTTTGAAACTACCCAATCTAAAACTATATTATGATGCAGTGGTATTATCCGTAATTAGTGATTGGATCAATTTAACTAATGATAGGATACTGAACCTTGAGGGATATGATCTGGTATATGGTTGGCATGCTTACTTGTTATTTAACAAAAAACTGGA